ACATTTGGATCATTAATTAATCTTAACTTTTGTATATATGTGAGGAAAGGATCCAATTTATTCTTTTCCATGTGGATATCATTTTTTTCCAGCACCATTTATAAAAAAGACTATTTTTCCACCTTTGAATTGTCTTGGCATCTTTGTCAAAAGTCAATTGACCAAAAATGTAAAGCTTTATTTCTGGCCTCTGAATTCTGTTCCACTTCTCTATATAGTATATCTATGTTTTTGCAAGTACAGTACTGTATTAATTACTATAGTTTTGTTGTATGTTTTATAGTCAGGAAGCCTAAGTTTTTCCAATCTGCATGCTTCTTGTTTTATTGCATTGATTAGGATCTTCAATGCAACCTTGAATAGTAATTGTGAGAGCAGATATTCTTGCCTTATGCGGTTCCTAATCTTAGGGGGGAAAGTTTTAATATTTCACCATTACTTTTTAAAAAAGATGATTGCTATATTGAGAAAACTCTCTTCCATTTCTAGCTTGAAAATTTTTAACATGGATTTTGATTTTTGTCAAATGATTTTTTTCTGCATCTATTGAGACTATAATTTTGCTTTCCCCTTTCATTCTGTTAATGTGATGAACTACACTAACTTTTCAAAATTAAACCATTTTTCTTCACCATAGTTGCTTATCCTCTATATTGCAAGGTTGAATTTGCCAATATTTTGTTAAGAATTTCTAAAATATATTTTTATTTCAGAGAGGAAGGGAGAGGGAGAGATAGAAATATCAATAATGAAAGAAAATCATTGATCTACTGCCTTCTGCAAACCCCCCACTGGGTATAGAGGCCACAACCCACGCATGTACCCTGACTGGGAACCAAATCTCAACCTCCTGGTTCATAGGTTAATGTTCAACTTCTGAGCCACATCAACTGGGCTGTTAAAAAAAATTTTTAAGTCTATATTCATGGGGGTTATTTAGGTAGATTATGTTGCCTCATGTGTTTAGAAGTGTTCCTACCTGCTCTATTTTCTGAAATAGTGTAGGATTAGTATTATAAGGTTCTCCCTCCTCCCAACTGGTGGGTGGAGTTATGACATTACTGGCATCTGTTACAGAGACATTTTCAAGACATTGAGCCACCAATCAGTGAATGCCAAAGTGTCCTGGAGCCCACCTCTTCCTGTTCTGCCCTGGGTCCAACCCTCTCCTGTTCCTCCCCTTAAAAGGACCCCCAGACCAACCATGTGCTGTGATCCTCCATGTCCAGGAGGCAGCCCAGCTGGGTCTATCCCACCTCCTCACTCCTTCAATTCTGATTTCTCTACCTCCGTAATGAGTCCCGCTCATTACTGGGGAATAAACTTTAAAATACCTTGGTGGTCAGTTTCCTGCGCCTTAAACCTTACAAGTATTTTATCTTCTTTAAATGTCTGGTAAAATTTATTGGTAAAGCCATGAAAGCCTGAAGTTTTCTTTGTGAGGAAGTTTTTATTTTTTTTATTACAAATTCAATTTCTTTAATTGATATTGGGCCATTTAGATTTTCTTTTCCTTCTTTTCTTTCTTTTGCATTTTTCATAAATTTGTCCACTTCACTGGACAAGTTGTTGATTTTATTGATATAAAGTTGTTGAAACTATCCCTTTAATAGCTGCATAATTCTATTAGCATTTTGGCTACATTAAAACTAAAATTTTTGTACACAAAAATAAAGTAGATGACTATCAACAAATTAGGGGAAAAGAAATGACAGAAAAAACTATGTGTGTGTATGTGTATACATATATATGGTAGGAGCAAACAGTCTAGTGACAGAAAAAGGGAAATACCATTCAATGTGACAATTTTCATGAAAGGCACATAGAGAACACATAGGAAAAATACCCTGCCCAATTTTGGGAATTAGAATCATGATGTCCAAGTGATGAATTAGATCATTTAACCCCAGGTAAGTTAATATAATCATACTTTTGGACACTTAAAAAGCTGAGACTTAGATCTCAGATACAATTAATTCACATTAATTATCCAGATGTGAGGGCTATAGTCAACTGCCTGCCCCTTTCACTGGTATATCCTTAGTTAAAAAATAAAACTTTGTTTTTAGGAAATTATATGTTCATTATTTATTTATTTTAAAAAATATATTGTGCCTGACCAGTGTGGCTCAGTGGTTGAGTATCAACCTATAAATAAGAAGATCATAGTTTTTTAAAAATATATTTTATTGATTTTTTACAGAGAGGAAGGGAGAGGGATAGAGAGTTAGAAAAATCGATGATGAGAGAGAATCATCAATCAGCTGCCTCTTGCACACCCCCTATTGGAGATGTGCCCACAAACAATGTACATGCTCTTGACCGGAATCGAACCCGGGACTTTTCAGTTCGCAGACCGACACTCTATCCACTGAGCCAAACTGGTTTCAGTGATATGTTCATTATTTAAAAATTCACACGGAAAAGTTCAAAAGGTAAAAGTCACTTGCATTTGGGCCAACATCCTTCCAGATATTTTTGTACATGTAAACACACACACACACACACACACACACACACACACACACACCCTATCTAATAGAGGGGAATATGCTAATTGACTCTCAAACTGTAACAAAGATGATGGTGCCCACAGCCAATAAGGAGGGAATATGCTAATTGACTGCTGCACCCTCAAAGATGGTGGCACAATAGCCAATAAGGAGGGAATATACTAATTGATTGCCATGGCCTCAAAGATGGTGACGCCCACAACTAATGAGGGAATATGCTAATTGACTGCCAAGCCCTCAAAGATGGCAGTGCCCTTAAGGGTTCTATCCATGGATCCAAAATGACTAGGGCTGAATTGTTGGGGAGCACATGCGACTAGATTGGAAAGCTTGTAATGAGGACATTCTGAGAAAAGGGAAGTGTGTGGAAGGCCGCCTGCCCTGTTTATTGAAATTCCAACTTAGGGGAGTGCCAAAGATGGTGACCCTATTATTCCTTGATCTTTCCAAACAAGCCTCTACACGTGCAGACCCCTGAGTGTTTACTGGAATTCTTATGCTTAATCTTTTGGATGTCCTTGCTTAAAACTACAAACACGTGTCCTCCAAAGATTACTTACCTTACTGATTGTATCTAAAAGATAAACTTTATCTCAAACTGCTGCTATAATAAAAGTCTAATGAGGCAGGCAATGGAGGTTACATGGTTCCTTTAGCCAGGCAGTCCCTTAGCCCTCTCTTCCACAGCAAATATTGTATCTGAATAAGCCACTCATCTGTAGCTCAGTGTTCAGTTCTGACACTGAATCTGTTTTCTCTTAGCTTTTTTCCTTGGAACAATTGAGTTTGTTGAGGCAAAGGTTAATGCTTATGTTAAATTTTGGTAAATTAGGTTGTACCAATTTCAATTCTACACCAAGTTTTTGTTGTTAATCCTCACCTGAGGATATTTTTAGAGTAGGAGAGGGAGAGACAGATATATCCATGTGAGAGAGACACATGGACTGGTTGCCTCCTTCATGACCTGCCTCCCCCACCGGGCAGGGAACCTGCAACTGAGGTATATGCCCTTGACTTGAATCAAACCTGGGATCCTTCAGTCCAGGGGCGGCGATGCTCTATCCACTAAGTCAAACCAACTAGGGCTATGGTTTCATTAATTCCTTGGTCCATCTGATACTTATTTGAGAAAGTAGATGTTAAGCCTGTCCCACTGACCATCTTTTCCCCTTACCAATGATTGGTAATGTACTTTTTATTGATGACCTCTGAGGCTTCTGGAGATAGACTGACTGGCTTCTACACCGACCAATAATGGCTCTGGGTAACCCTATAAAATCGATACACTAGAGAGTTAAATAAAATAACCTGAAAAAGTGCTCCAGTATTTGGTAAGTGCTCAGTAAATGTAAATTATCATTATTAAACTCATACATACACAGCAGTTTATTTCTGGATTCTAGAATCTGGTCACTGATTCAAATTAACACCCTAACACCCAATTCCCTGTCACGTCTAATGGCTCCTCTTTTGTTCATTTCAACAAAAAACGGTTATATGTCAGTTGCCTTTCCAATCATAAGGAGGGCCCAAAAATGTTTGTTGGGGGCAAAAATAAGCTGTGCTACACAAAGTAGTGAGAATCAAAACCCAAACCGAGGCACTGAACTACCGTGGGGATGGGGCCTGCTTTTCCTGCCTCCTGCTCTAACCTTCCCTTACTCATTCGTGGGCACCTACACACCCCATCACGTCCTCCAAAGCTAGTTCCTCTTCTCCCACATCTACTTACAACCTGACCACCAGCCAGTGGGCCGGGCTGGAGGGAAGCACGCGGTGGGATGTGAGCGGGCGGCCAGGGAGGGGCCGGGTAGATCTGCTAAATCCGCGGTCCCCAAGGCCAGCCGCGCCCCCTGGGCTGCCGCCGGCAAGGAGGCGGGCGGGGTGGCGGCGGTACCACCTCGGAGCCCCCGAGCAGAGTGTGGTGAGAGCGGGCAGAGGGAACGAGAAATGCGAAAAGGCGGAACCCCACTGGCTTCCGCTCCACCAGGCGCCTTACGCCGGCCCTGAGAAGCAGGTGGGTATCTCGTTGGGTTTCCTGTTCCCTAGGGCTCTGGTACCTCTGTGCCCGCCAGCGGCCGCCTCGGGGCGTGGCTCCGGCGCTACGTCCCGCCGTAGAGGGCGGGGCAGAGGGCGGAGGCCCCGCCCCGTTCGCTCCTCCCTTTAACGGCCTCGGGCTGCCGCGTCGGTGACGTCACCGAGGGGTGGGACTTCCTGCCTCGCTCGCCCCAGGGTCCCGCGACTCTGACCACCCCGGCGGCTGGAGGGGCCCTGGGCGGCGGGCGGGCGGAAGAGGGATTCCCGCCGGACGAGAATCCCCCGGGACCCCTCACTTTTCCCCGCGGTTGGAGCCCGAGGGGCCGGGTCGTGCTGCTCCGCCGGGTCAGCCCGCGCCGCGAGCGGCCTCCCGGACCTCGCCGGGCGTGGAGGGCCGGGCGGCACCCCGCGCGGGGACCGGCTCCCTTCGCCCCGATGCCCCGGCGAGAAGAGCGGAGCGGGAGCCGGTGGTCGGAGCTGCTGGAGGGGACCCTCGGTGGCGATCGTGGCCGGAACACAGGTCCCTGTTCGTTTCATGTCCGCGCGTTGCAAGACTGTGTGAGTCTGGTACGTACCCTCATTTTAGGGGGACGCTATCTGGTCCATGTTTTGGAATACTCATTCTTTTCTGTTGTTCAAAACTTGCCCTCGGATGATTTTTTTTTCCTCTCGTGATGTAGCGGGAGCGGGTTTTAGCAAAGCGGGCTGTTTTGTAGCAGTGCAATCAGTGCACGTGAAACCGGAGCTTTTTGATGCCCTCCCGCGTGGGGCAGGTGCAGCCGGTTAGTAACTGGCTGTGTGGTACCTCCAGTTCAGTTTGGGGTGAAAATGCTATGCTACCATTTTCCGTGACCCTGAAGACAATTTTAACCGTGTTGTTGGCTGCCGTTACAGATGTACGTCTAAAAATATGTAGTGAATGTGGACACTGATAAATCCTTAGTGCCCAGCTTTTGACCGTAATAATTGGGCACTTAGCTCTTAAAAATGCCCACTGCTAAGTATACTTTAAAATACTTTTGTCATTAGTTGTAAATGATGAAGCTGTTTCAAGTAAAATCTCAAAGAAGTCTAGGTTAAACAAGAAACTTGTTCATAATTTCTTATGTAGTTTGTAATGTGTTCAGACTATGAGCACAAAGTACTTGAGTAGATCTAAAACAGAGTGGGCGGTTAAAGCATTGCTTCTGTTACCAAGCAACATCTTCGTAAACAAGTCTAATCTTCAACTAGAATATAATTAAAAGTATCCTACAGTTATCTGGATTCCTCTAAATTCGTGGGTGGTTACAGTTAATAGTCCCCTTTAATATTGAGGTTTGATTTCAAACTCATTTTGTTTAGAATGATTAGAATGCTTTAAATTTGTGTCATACAGGATTCTCCAGAGAGTTGCAAATAAATTTGAGTTACCCTTTGATTATTTCCGGCAGTGTTTCCCAAACTTCTCATGATGAGAATCACCTGGTGGAGTTGTTAAAATACGGATTCCTGAATCCCAACTAAGAAGCGTTAAACTAGAATTTTTGGGAACATATAGGTAAAATTGTATACTTAAGCATTCTTAGTTGGGATTCAGGAATTTGTATTTTAACAACTCCACCAGGTGATTATCATCATGAGAGAAGTTTGGGAAACACTGATTTAGGGCAGAGTGTGTCAGGTGTTCCCTTCCTTTCAGTATTTTCTTTTGTAACCTGATGATGAGTGCAGACTATTAAGGAGTTTTCTCAAATAATGGAGTAATGCCAACTTAGGGTTACATAGAGCATTAGGAAATTTGTAACACTGATTGTCCACAGGTAGTTTTTAAGCCTTCGTTTAGCCCAGTGGTAGGCAAACTCATTAGTTTACAGAACCAAATATCAACAGTACAACGACTGAAATTTCTTTTGAGAGCCACATTTTTAAAACTTAAACTTCTTTTAATGCCACTTCTTCAAAATAGGCTCGCTCAGGCCACGGTATTTTGTGGAAGAGCCACACTCAAGGGGCCAAAGAGCTGCATGTAGCTCTCGAGCCGCATTTTGCCGACCACGGGTTTAGCCAATAACATCACTCTTCAATCATTGAATCTTTAATGATATAAGTTTTTAAATTCTCATCACTCGGGGATATTCTAACTGATTTTAGAGGGGGAGGGGGGAGAAAGAGAGAGAGAGAGGGAGGGAGGGAGGGAGGGAGGGAGAAACATTAATGGGGGATCGGATCGAATCTGCAACTTAGGTATGTTCCCTGAATGGGAATTGAATCCATAATCTTTGGTGTATGGGATGACGATGTTCCAACCAACTGAGTTACACTGGCCAGGGCTAACCTTTAATATGATTTTTCTGGTAAATAGTTTTCAAAGCATTGTCCATGCTATTTAGAATACAGTAACCTTAGGTATGTAAACAAGTATGTGAGAACATTTGAGAAACTGAGAATCAATGATTTCTTTGAAATCAAGCTATTAGTAAATGGGAATTGGAACTTGAAATTTAATGTTCTTTGTATTCTGTCCTTACTGTATTGCACAAATCTATAGACTTCATTTTAGTCCTCTATCCCTTTTTCTTCCCCAATTCCTGATGCTGAAGTAATGAAATATTCGAGATGGTCAAGCAGAGAAGAAGAAAAATCAAGGATGACTCATGTTGTTTAATAAAATCCTGAGTAATCAGATATCAGTATTTTGTCATGGGAAGTTCTAATTCAAGCTTAGAAGAATGAAGTCTTAACAGAAAGACTAGTGAATTGTCAGAATTTGTGCTTTCCATGTGTTGTCTCTGTCTAAAGTAAATGTTTTATTTTACCTTTGTCATATGTAATATATTAGGTTCTGTGAGTAATTTTATCAAGTTGTCTAATCTGTGTGTATTTTTCGGAAATGTGTGTATGTATCTATATAAAAAAATTTCCAGAAGTACTCTTTCCTGCTGACTAAAGTTCACATTTCTGAATCTGGACTCTTAAAAGTCTCTCTGCACTGCGTTTTCACGTTCTTATATTTCTTATAGAAAAGTTATGATCTCACTCATCACACTGGTTTCTTCACTATCCTCTAAACCTGCTCTGTGCTTTCTCTCTTCCTTACCAGTCTTCAAATCATTCTACCTACCTGACCTTGTTAGATAGGGCAAGAGTCTTAAGGAGTCTGGGTCATTCTTACTAAAGGCTATTCTTGTTAAATGTTAAAATGTAGCACAGTATTTTGCAGACCAGCTATAAAAAGAATGAGACTGACAGTGACCTAACCCAATAATAAATGTAGCCAACTGAAATCAACTTGTAACTTCCCAAATAATATATATAAGCAGTGGCTAATCCTCCCTTTCTTGCTGCAAGTAAATAAAACTACCTTGTATTTTTCATTAGAGCACATCTGAGCTGTTTGTTGCCCAGTAACACATCTGCAGTATATCTAGCAACCATTGAAAACATTGACACTGGACTACAGAAATTTTCCTGATGAAGTTGAAGCACATATCTCTGGTGCTCACATTCAATCTGTCTTTCCCAGCTGAGTACCATTGTGGTTGAAGGCAGGCGTTTGGGGTATGTTAAAGGGCATCCTATATAATAAAAGCCTAACATGCAAATTGTCCCCTCAGGTAGTTGTGCCCAGAGGTCAGCTGGGATCTGTCCTTCATGCCAGATGCTCATGCTTTGATCACTGGCCAGGCCTAGGGACTGCATCTGTGCACGAATTTTGTGCACTGGGCCCTCTAGTACAATATAATTAAGTATATATTATTAGATATGATATTGTAATTTGCACATTGTTTTTCACATAAAAATGCATGATAATAATAGGTTGAAATTATAGTGTGTGTGAAGGACACATGAAAATATTGGTTCAATTAAAGATTAGTATATTCTGAATAAAAAAGCTCTTAAGTAATAGTTAACATTATAATTCTCCAAAACTGATATAACCAGACAGAGTTAGGGTAGATGAAGCTGAAATGGTTCTTTAAAAAACATTTTTATATTACTTCTGGAGGTTTATGGAAAACTTCTATCCATAACAATAAAAACATAATAGGCTAATTAGACCAGACAACTGAACAATTTTCTGGAAGTCATTCCAGACGTCCTCCTGAATGGAGCTGAGGCAACAGGGGTTAAGGCAGAGGTGGTTAGGGGTGATCAGGCAGGCAGGCAGGCAGGCAGGCAGAGGCGATTAGGGGTGACTAGGCAGCCAGGCAAGCAGTTAGGGGCGATCAGGCAGGCAGAGGTGATTAGGGATGGTGAGGCAGGCAGGCAGGTGAGCGGTTAGGAACCAGTAGTCCCAGATTGCAAGAGGAATGACTTCTGGTTTAGGCCTGATCTTCTGATGGGTCCTGGATTGTGAGAGGTTGCAGACCAGGCTGAGATACTCCCCCACCCCCATGTGCATGGATTTCATGCACCAGGCCTCTAGTGCAGGTGTCGGCCCGCGGGCCACATGCGGCCCGCAGAGGAGTCTGATCCGGCCCGCCAGGTTTTTTGGGCAGTGAGCGCAGCCGAGGTGTTACAGTAGGAATTATAGTAGTTCATATAGTCTGGCCCTCCAGCTCTCTGAGGGACCATGATCTGGCCCCCACTTAAAAAAGTTTGAGGACGCCTGCTCTAGTGTATCAATAAGCATGAATTGTTACACATCATGATTTTCTGGGAAGAAAATTTTGATTCAGGAGACCAAGACTTGATAAATCACTTAAACTTTCTTGGTCTTTATTTTCTCATTTGAAAGAATAAATTGCTGAAAGTTTCTTTCAGAATTGTATGCTTCCAATTTAAAACCAATTTTACTTTCTTGGTAATTGGTTTAGTAAATATTTGAGTGCCAGTTATGTGTGTCTTGCACTATGCCAGGTACTGACTTGTGACTGGTTTCAGGAGTGGGGGCAGTCTTGAGTGACTAAGCCCTCCACCTGTAGAGTCTGCACTAATTCTGGGTAGTTAAGTGTCAATTACATTTTGGAACACTCATTTGGTGTATAGTGTGTTGGAGAATTTGTTGGTGTTAGAGAAAAACCCTATGCATTTGGTGTTAGAAGTGTAAAAACAGTTCAAAGTTATTTTTTAACCCAAACTGCCAAAATGTTTTTGAAAATGACTATACCAGTAACATTCCTACTAGAAAAGTATAAAGGCTCCATTTTTCCATATCCTCACCAACACTTGGTATCATCTGTCTTTTTTATTATAGCTATTTTAGTAGTGTCTAATTGTGATTTTAATTTGCATTTCTCTAAACACAAATGATGTTGACCTTTTCATGTGCCTATGAGTCTGTTTTGGTGGAATGTCTTCTTAAATCCTTTGTGTATTTTTTTAACTGGAATTTTTGTCTTACTATTGAATTATGTATTCTGGATAAAAATCTTCTATGAGAGAAATATTTACAAAGATTTTCTCCTTGTCTGTGGTTTGCTTCTTATTTTTACTGGTGTTTTTAAAGTGCAAAATACTTAAATGCAAAGTATCTAATACACAATATGTTTTTTTCTTTTATGGCTTATGCTTTTGATATTCTGTTTAAGAATTTTTTTTTTTTTGAAGAATTTTTTGCCTAATTCAAAGTCACAAAGATTTTC